TTATCTTTCTCTTTGAGCATTTAATATCTGTTGTCAGCATCAATATTAGACTGGCACGCTGTTCATTCAGTTTATGTTGCTCCCAATGAGACAGGGCAAAAATAGTCTTTATTTGTACAGACAAATTGCAATGTATTTAATCTTTTCCTAAATAAGACACTGTTGTAAATCACTCAGTGGTGGATGGCTCAAAGTTAGCCTCCTAACAACAATTGCTATGTTGAGACTTGGTCATCTTCTTGAATTATTTTATGATCATTCCTGTATGTGGTAACAGATCACAGATGTGTATGTGGCTGGTTTAACAACCAATAGCTGAACATTCTTGCCTTTTTCTAGTATATGAGCAACATGGACTCTTGGTGTAAAGCCTGTGGAGAGGGAGAACTTCCTTCTGAGCTACAGGACCTGGAAGACACCATCCACCACCACCAGGGTCTCTATGAACACATAACCACTGCCTATTCTGAGGTACAAATCTCATTTAAAGTAAAATCTTTTGCTTGTGTTTGTGAATATTTTCACTTTAAAGACTCAATTCAGGATACCTCCAAGCTGAGCAAGAACAAAAAAAAAAAGATATTTCAGTCATGACAACTCCTAGAATAGTTTTTCCTGAATATGACAGTGTTAATGTATTTGGTCTTTGCGGACTAGATCTGCTACACACACCGCTGCTGCTGCAAGGCAAATATGGTCTTGCTACTGACAATAGATACACAGACATGTTGCTGTGAGCTTGTAAGATATGCTGCTGCATGGATAGACACACATAAATCCCCTAGCAGATCTAGACAAGTGGAGCTGGGGAGGTGGAGGGTTTCAGAGGAACTCTGATGGTGCACTGCAGGACCAACTTACAACAAACACTGAACCAGACTATTTAAATGGTGAGCAAGCAAGCTCATTGGCTGCAAAGCAGAGGCCAATCACCTTGTGCAGTGTAGACTAGTAAATTATTTGATTGCATGTAAAGGAATGGGGCATTTCATGACTGAACTTGATTTTCAAATAAAGGTGGGATTTCTGGTTGTTGATGTGTATTATCTGTACATCCCCAGGTAAGTCAGGATGGCAAAGCCCTGCTAGATAAGCTACAGCGGCCTTTGACCCCAGGAAGTGCAGATTCGCTGACAGCCTCGGCTAACTACTCCAAGGCGGTGCACCATGTTCTGGATATCATTCATGAGGTTCTGCATCACCAGAGGCAGTTGGAGAACATCTGGCAACACCGCAAACTTCGTCTTCACCAACGGCTACAGCTCTGCGTCTTCCAACAGGATGTCCAGCAGGTCGGACACTTATTTTTAACTAGCAATACTTTATACACAAATTATTGTAAACAGTTTTTTACATCTCATGAGGATGTGGATTCAGTTTATTTTATTTAATCACTGTTATTTGTGAAGTGAGAGATGTGTAGGGTGGATGAGTTGTCAGAACGTTGCAGGAGACATCTGTGCGGGACAGATTTTTTCATTTCATTCTCGCCCACTTCCCACAAGTTTCTTCTTGCACATGCCTGTTTCCACTGAATTTCACTTCCTGCTCGCAGTGATTTTGATCTGCCTGCTTTAGCTCAATTTTGGTTCGATTTAAGACATCTTTTCTTCCATTGAGCTAAAATAAATAAATAATAGTTTATTTAAACAAATACAGTATGGGGTCAGAAGTTTTTTTATTAAGTTACATTTTAAAATGTAATTTATTCCTGTGATGGCAATGCTGAATTTTCCACAAATAATATTCTTAATATAAATTGATGTGGCAAAACACAAAATGATTAATGAGTTTGGTATATGAATATAAATATGACAGTGTGACACTAAAATGATTCCTGCTCATAAATGAGGTGAATCTGGTCCAATTTCTTCTTCTCTTTGTCTGAATAAAATGGCAGCATCTAAATGCCTGTGAGGCATCGTTATGTTGAATATAAAGTGAGTTCTAATCTGTTTAAAATAGAATTTCTCTGCTCACTTAAGAACAGAATATAAATGTGAAAGTATGCTTTTAGGCACCACTGCATCATTTATTAATTTATATATTTATTTTTGGATGAAATACTTGCATTTTTCTTTTTCAATTAAGAAATTCTAAAGGAGGAGTTACCCCAAAAGATAAAAATTCTGTCATCTTTTGCAAAACAACAGCCAAATGCATCTCTCTGTCTCTTTCACTCTCTCTCACACACGGTCTGTCCCACACAATGTTCCCACTTTTTTCTTTTACTTAGTCTTTTTCGTCTCAGTATCAGTTGTCATGGTAACTGTGTTCAGCAGCCTCATTATGTTGAGGGTTTGCCCCATAAAATGATGCAGACATAGGGGACCTCTAAACCTTCCAGACATCAGAAAGCAGCCACGTGAGCAGGAGACTCAACATCTGCACGACAAATGATTGCATCTAATCACACACACACACACACATGTGCTGACAGATGCCACCACATAAACAGCTCTGAATGTTTCTGTGTGTGGCACATTCAGCCAGATCAAAGGTGGCATAATGAAATATGCATGAGTAGAGGACCTTGTGTTTTCGCAGTGTGCTCTGGCGTCTTTTGAGGCAGGTAGAAAGCTTTTAAACTCGGATATGAGATGTCCGTCTTAGTAGCTCCACCCTGTAGATTTCAAATGGTTAAGAAAATATTTAATACTCACTTAAAACCTTTTCTAATACGTTTTTATTAGTAAAATATTGCATATGTGTTCAGATGCTCATGCAGACCTGTGAGAAACAACAGATACTACCCCATTAATCAAATATCCATAATAAACACAGTTACTGTACTCTCAGACAACACCATCAGAGCAGACACCAGAGTCTTGTTGGCTTAATCTGCAGGATGACCTCACTGCATGTTTGGGGCTGATGTTTATAGTGGTGTTGA